GAAGATATATCCAAGACTCTGCTGTAGACAGGAAGCTGATCGCCAGTTTATGGATGAGGAAATTGAGGCACAGATACTTACAGGATTAGTCCAAGACAATGTACTGTTAAATCTATCATGATGGATGTTAAAACCAGGATTAAACATCTTCCAACATTTTCTAGCTAGTGCCCCTTCTGAACTTGCCTGAAAGTAATACCCTTGGTCAGAATTGTTCTGTTGTTCTATTAGGGGAAAAATCAGCTTAAATTAGAAAAACCTCTTCCAGAGCCATCGGGAGGCTAGGGGAGAGTTTACAGCCTGCAGCCCAGAGTCAGCTCACCATGGAGAAAGGCCCTGGGCAGCACCTAAGGAAACCTAGCTGCATTAGAGGGTGAAGTGACTAGTCAGCTATCTCCAGAGCTGTTTTTAAAAGTTGCAGATCTATAAGCTCTTTAAGAATATGTTCTCATTTTTTTATTTTAATTTTTTAAAAAGATTTATTTATACAAGCACTGGGTACAGTCAGAGTGCGGGAGGGTGAGAGAATTCACCAGAGCCAGAGCGGGGAGCAGAGCAGGCAGAAGGACCGAGGTACACTGCTGAGGGGAGCAGCGGGCGGCAGGAGAGGTCTGCGCGCCATGTGGGACCCCCCTCCGGTGGCCGGAGAGCAGCCGGGGATCGAACCCAGCGCTCAACCGCTGCGCCACAGGCGAGACCCTGTATTTTGTCATTTTAAAATATATGCCTACATATTGTGGAGACTAGTCTCACCCCCCCCACACACACACCACCTCCCCATCCCCCGCAAAAACAAAACAATTTACTTTCATTATGATCAATTAAAACTTCTGGATTCTAGAGGGGCTCTGCCTAAGGATCCAAGCCCCACCTGGCGGGGCGGGGGTGTGTGTGCGTGCGCGCCCTCTTTCTAGGCTTATCCATTGGAGTCGTCTGCATCTCAGTCAGTGTTTGTCAGTGCTGGGTGACTGGAAACAAAGGAGAGGAGACTTTTGTGATGCAGGGTGGGCTGGGGAGACAGCACTGAAAGGAGAAATTTCCCCTTGATTATTTGCGGGAACTAGTCTTGGGTTGGGGGGTGGGGAGGGCAGGGTAGAAATGGCTTGTCTTCCTTCCCAATTCTGTCCCGCAATCACAACACTTTACAGGCAACGCTGGGCAAGGGTCTTACCCTAAAGGGAGTGAGATCAGAGGTCAGTTCATGCTTGTGGGATCCTGAATGAGCCCTTGGAGATACCGGCTTACACGTCAACCAGAACAAGGAGAAACCAGATCTTGTTCTGCTCAGCAGCAGCAGCTGAGCACAAGTCTGATTAGTTCTTGCAGTTAAGGGCCAAGGATCCCAAGCAAAGGCCACAGAAGCTCAAAGACATGTAAAAGAAGCAGATTATCGCTAAGCAGGCCTGCTGTGAGAGGCTCCCTCAACCAAGAGACAGGGCCTAGAAAAAAGGGGAGGGGATTCTAGGCAAAAGGAAAAACCCATGTAGAGGTCTTGAGGTAAAAAGAATTGCAGAGAGGTGCCTGATGCAAGATGCCTGTGTGGCTGGACAGTGGTAAAAGGGAGACTCCTATGAGACTGAAGGAAAAGCTGAGATTGCTGACGCTCTCTCCATATATAACGCTAGGGAGTTGGATTCTTTTCATGCCAGCACAAAGCCTCTGAATAGTTTTAAGTAAGGGCTGTGGTAGAACCAAATTTTATTTTTTTAAAGGATTGTACTGTTTTTAAAAAGTTTTTAAAAAGGGGAGAAATAAAGGAATTCAGTGACTGGGTACCAAGTGGAGGGTTAGAGAGGCAGAAGTAGAAGCAAGTCACAGAAAGAAGAGACTGTTGCTGCAGTCCAGTAAGAGACAGTGGGGCCCAGGAAAAGGTTAGTAGCAGTGAACATGGACAGGAGGGGACAAAGACACGACATACAGGCACACCTGGGAGGTATTTTGGGCTCAGTGCCAGACCACTGTGGCAAAGCAAGTCCCGTGAGTTGTCTGGCTTCCCTAATCTAGTAAGTGTGCTCGACATTGTCTAAAATGCACATACCTTAAAAAGTGCTATCACCTGAACTTTCTGTGAGTCATAATCTTTGCTGATGAGGGTCCTGCTTTGAGTGTGGATGGCTGCTGACTGATCAGGGTGGTGGTGGCAGTTTCTTAAAATAAACAATGTAATTTGCCACACTGATTGACTTCCTTTCACAAAAGGTTCCTCTGTAGCAGGTGATGCTGTGTAATAGCATTTTACCCACAGCAGAACTTCTTTCAAGATGGGAATCAATCCTCTCAAACCCTGCTGCTGCTGCTCTATCTACTAGTTAAGTTTGTCAGATCTAAATCCTGTGTTGGCATTTCAACAGTGTTCATAGCATCTTCACCAAGACTATGTCTCATCTCAAGAAATCACTTCCTTTGTTCATCTTTCCACAAGGAGCAATTCCTCATCTGTTAAAGTTGACATTGTAGCTATACAGTCACATGTTGAGGGGGAGTAACAGGGTGTGGGAAAGGGAATATAGGGGAGGGAAAGGGAGGCTGGGGATGGGTAGATAGGGAGGACGCTGAAAGGGGTGGGGGAGAGAAAGGGTTTGGATGGAGAAGGGAAGGGTTGTGGTCACAGGCTAGAAAAGAGAAGGTTCCTGGGCCTCCCCTGGTGGCGCAGCGGTTGAGCACTGGGCTACAAAGCTGCCCGCTGCAGAGGCTGCGCGGGTTCGATCCCCGGCCACCTGCGAGGGTCCCAAATGGCGTGACAGACCTCTCCTGCTGCACCCGCTGCTCCCCTCAGCAGTGTATTTCAGTCAGTCTGCCTGTTCTGTTCCCTGCTCTGGCTCTGGTGAATCCTCTCACCCTCCCGCTCTTCTGACTGCACCCAGTGCTTGTATAAATAAATAAAAAAAAAATCTTTTAAAAAAAAAAAAAAAGAGAGAAGGTTCCAGGACTCTTTGACAGAATTCCAAAATGGTGGCACCAACCGCAAAGGTCAGAGCTTCAAGGTTACACCTCAAAATATAATGGTTCTCACACTTGGGATGTCTAAGGAGGTATTATAAGAAGTGTGATGTGCACCTTCACCTGAATGTTTTATAGGTTGAGTATTATGTTTATGACCAGGGACTGTTGTCCAACCAGGAAAACAGCTGGTTTAGACAGATTATTCTAGGGCCTGTTAAGATCTAAGAACCCTGGGAAACAGAGTTGAGACCGCCATTTTTAACATCACCCCTGGGGTGTTAGGATGCTAAGTTGACTAATATACATTAAATCAGTTCAAGGAAAGTTCTGGTCCCCATCTGGTTGTCTTGGACCAAACCGCCCCCATTTAATTTAATGGAAGGCAAACCTGTCTAACCTAAACAGTTCATTTTGATAACCGGATTCATCCAGTTTGAAGAACCCACTGGGCCACAAAAAATCCAGAGCACAGGTCTCCTTGGTGGCTTAGGGGTTAAGTCTCAGCACTACCAGTGCGATGGCCTGTGTTCCATGCCTGGCCAGGGAACTAACCCACAGCAGACCTCTCCTGTTGTTCCCACTGCTCCCCTCAGCAGTGTATTCCAGTAAATCAGCCTGTTTTGCTCCCTACTGTGTCTCTGGTGAATCCTCTCATGCCCCCTGCCCGACCTATTCCCCAGTTCTTTACACACACACACACAAATCCGGCGTATGCTTTTTTTAGTTCCTTCCTTTGTGACCTGCAATCCATATCAGTGTCAGGAAGAGATGAGACATCACTTACTGAACATGTGATGTGTGGGACCCAAAGACCCCCCCAACCCCCCAGCATGTGCAGGTGACAGGCAAGGAAGCTGCTACCCCATGGAAGGAAAGACATCACCGCTAGGCATAATAATAAATGGAGGTCTGGGAGTGTAAACTGACTTCTGGGCTCAGGGTTTAGTGAAAGGTGATCTCGAAGGGCTTCTAAACTCCAGCTCTCACGGCCCCACCATTTGGGCTCCTAAACCAAGAGCATTTACTTATTTACTTGCAACATCATTAGCAATTCCTTTTTTTTTTTTGGTGGGACCCTGGCCGGCAGCCGGGGAACAAACTGGCGCTACAGAGGCTGCGGGCAGCCTCACAGCCCAGCGTTCAACCGCTCCGCCACCAGGGGAGGCCCAGCAATTCCATTTTTAATGTACATATATCTGCCCTCCCTCCTCACCACCCCCAACCCCAAACGATTAGATTGACAGTGTGTGTCCCTACCAGGCCATGCAGGCACTGAGGCTGGCTCAGAAATGAAGGTTAAGGCCCAAATTGCAACAGGATTCCATCCTCTTATGCTGCACTTCTTCCTGTCTCCTCTCTCCCCATCCCCCCTCCTCTCGAGGTCATCAACATTAGGACAGACTAGGTGTCAAGCTACATCTGCAGGGCCTCCCTGGTGGCACAAGGAGTTAGGCACGCACTATGAAGCAATCTACAGCCTCTGCTGCACCAGTTCGATCCCCGGCTGGCCAGGGAGCTGCCCACATGCGCAGCAGACCTCTCCTGTCTCACCCGCTGCTCCCCTCAGCAGTGTGTTTCAGTAGCTCTACCTGTTCTGCTCCCCACTCTTGTCTCTGGAGAATCCCCTCCCCCCCCCATATCTCTGGCCTGTACCCCAGCTCTTGTATGCATAAATAAATAAATCTTAACCAAAAAAAAAAAGATCTATCTGCAGGCAATGGGTTCTGTGATTCATATACTCTCAGCAGAATACAGTATTCTGCTTTCATCTAGTACATTTCCTGCCCCATTCCCAGGCCAGAAAATCACAAGCAGATTCTTTAGGAAAGTATTCACAAAGAACCAAAACACGTTGCCAGATAATTAGGTTCCTGACCCTCCAGGCAGAAAATCTGCGCTCCTGCTTATTTCCAAAACCGGGCTTGCCCTCAGGCTGGAAGAAATCACCTATGGTTTCCTGGACCAGGTCTGTGCCTGCAGCTTCTGTGTCCTGCCTGCCCGTGAGACGTGGGAGGCAGGTACTAACCGTTACTGATTTGTGACATTTTGTCTTTCAGAACCAGAGGCAGGAGAGGTGTCCCCTCCAGTCGGTGCTGGTGTCAACAGCAACAGCTGGACCTTTAAATACGGACCGGGCAACCCCAAACAATCTGGTCCCGGTGAGTTGCCAGACAAATTCATTATCCCAGGATCTCCTGCAATCATCTCCATCCGGCAGGAGCCTACTAACAGCCAAATTGACAAAAGTGACTTCATAACCTTCGGCAAAAAGGAAGAGACCAAGAAAAAGAAGAAAAAGAAGAAGGGTAACAAGAGCCAGGAGAAAAAAGAGAAAGGGAACAGCACGACTGACAACAGTGACCAGTGAGGTCAATTCATGGAAACAAGCCACTTAGCCAGTTTTTGTAATAATGGCAAATCTCTCCCATGTAGCAACTCCCTGCTCCTTCCCCCCCGCCCCCAGCCCTCTCTCAGCCCTCAGAAATCTGCACCAAGTTCCCTGTGTCTGTCTAGATTGCATTTAACAGGTTTTGTCTTAAAAGCTTTACTAAGTCTGGTGTTAACTCTTTCTCTCCACTCTGGCTTGTTTTCAGAACCTAAAAAGCAGACCCAAGTTTCCTTTCTCCTCCGCCGCAAAGGAGAGGCCTCCCAGCCCCGCCAGTGAGAGGTTGGACTCTCTGCCCTGTGCTCCGGGGATCCTGTCTTGATGACACTTGCAGGGCAGGCTGAAAGGCTCTGAGATTGAGCAGCTTGGGTGGCTGTGGCCACCGGGTATGTGTGGCCGCCGGGGTATGTGAGTGCCCCGCAGTGGCCGGGACGGGCCAGGTTAGGCTAGCTGGCGCCAAGTGGGAGTTGCTGATCTGGAGGGGCAATGTGAAACTGAAAGGGACCAGACTTTCTAAATCTTACAACTCAAGAGGCAGTGGCCACCTTCTAGCAGACAGAACAACCCCACTGACAAGGCTTTAGGAGTCCATAAACCTAAAACTTGCATTATACCTACAAGCCAAGTGTTCAGTGTTTAACGGGGGGGGGGGCCACCTGGGGTAACAGAAGCAGATCTGATGTATTTCCTTTAGATGTCCTTGTGCTCACTTTACTAAATATTCTTTTGCACACAATGTTTATGAAAAGGCCAGATCCTTTTCCAACAGATACATATATGCAAAAACGAAAGGAAAGAAAACCCCAGCACCTCACTTTTCTTATTTGATAGATTTATTTAAAAAGAGAAAATCTATAATTATAAATCTTTAGGAGAAATATGATGAATACAAGTCCCCTACATGCTCCTCAAAAGAGACTCCGTCTACAGCCATTTAAATGATCGTTGCTGCTACAGAAGTGCTTTAAGAGAATTGCCTGAACATCTGTATTATACCGGCCACCTGCCAATCACAGCTTTACTCTTTCAGGTCACTCTGGGGCTGCCTCTTGCATGTATTAATTAATAAAGGATCTTTCTCTTTCTCTTTTCTAAGAAACAATTTGTGCACTTTGAATACACAACCTCCTCTAGCCAACTTATCAAGACCCAGAAATTGAAGAAAAATAACGTTTTCGCATACATACAGTGAGCAGACTTTTCAATCCTCTCAATCTGTGACGTGTCTTGGTGTGCTAGCCGACACCGCCTCTTTGGTTTAGTTTTCCTTTTCTATGACACTCTGACTTGCTGATCTTACTAACACCTACGACGTTTCCTGAACTCACCCCCATATGTATGCTGTATGCTATTATAAGACTCCTGCGATGTACTCACTCTGTGCTTGTGTATGTGGATGTTAATGCAACTATTACCTAGAGTGAACTTTAAGCTTTATTGTCGAATGTAATTCCATTATATTTCCTCTGTACACCTGTGGAAAAGTGGAGTAGTGTTTTTTTAGCCATTGTTAATCAGCTTTTGTGTATGAAAGACACAGTAAAATTTCTTTCTTAAATCAAGAAACTGGTGATTCAAGGAATTTTATTTATGGTCAGCCAAGAGCCATCTCTAGCCAAGACTCCTGCTGGCAAGAGAATGGATAAAGCTGTTTTTTTCTAGTAACAATTCTGGAATGAATACTGAAGATATTCTCTGAGGGTGTGCAAGCACAAAATTGACCAACCTGACCTCTTTGAAGTTACAGAATGCTTTGAAATTCTGATGTCATCTGGAGTATCAGCTCACAGAGAATAAGAAATTTTAATTTCATTAAAGTGTACAATTTAGAAGTTTGATTATATATTATCTTTTAAAAGTTAATAAAAGAGGTAGGAGTCTGTTACTAAAACAAAAGCATTAAACCTCAACAAAAACTGTTTTGTCTACTTTGAGCTTCATTCTCCCATATTTGGAAGGGTGTGTAACTTCAGCTCTGCAGGATTGCATGGGGTAAAACTTGTTGCCAACACATGTAAACCATTGCTACATTGTAGGTTGTGATCATTTTGCCCCACTGAAACCCATGTACCTGACCTTACGTGCCTTTTGAATAGTAGGAGAATCGGGCTAATTTATTAATGATGATAATTATAATGTATCTGTACAGCACTTTTTACATTTGCAAAGTGCTTTCCAATCCATGTTAGTTACTAGTTACTACAGCTGTAAGGATAAAACACGTCATGTGGATTCATTTTTAATTGGTGCTATTGGTATTTCCTCTGTTATTGCTAATAAATGGAAAATGGTGGTATGAAAGAAATGGTGGTCATTTCTAAGTTAAAGGGTAGGAGAAAATAGAACATTATCATTAGCTGTTAATATTGAAGACAGGTGTGGTATGAAACTCACTGTATCACTCTCCAGCCGTCTTCCTGGCTTTTGCGTTCATTACCAAGGTGAAACACCCAATAATATCCAGACAAAAACGCCACAATATTACTGGAATGGGCAGGCAGGAGGCTTCTGGGTCACTTCCCAGTACACTAGTTTGATCTAAAGAACTGCAACAAATGAAAAGGCCTTATCCTTTTCTCCAACAACACATACGCAGAAGCGGCAAGAAAACCCTAACACCTCATTTTATGCTGCTTGTTGACTTAGCTTTTTTCACTGGAACTCTCCAGTCATCTTGTTCATAATTTGTTTGGCCTTTGCGCCTGTCTGCAACTGGGAAGTCAAGAATTGCCCGACCTCCCCACCCCCGCCCTTGCCCAAGAAATGAACTCTTAGCACAGGGTGTATGTCAGGTGCTGTACTAGGTTGGTTCAGGTCACAGCACATGTTCTGTGACAAGTAGACCACACCTGCCTCTGTAAGGAGGCGCAGGCTTTAGGTTCATTGATTCTCAACTTTGAACAATTTTGCCCTCAGGATATCTGGCAACGTCCACAGACGCTTTGTTTTTTTTTCCTTCTTCTCTGCGCAAGGGATGCTACTAGTGGGCAGAGGGCAGAGGCCAGGGATGTTACTACACACCCTATAATGCACAGGACAGGCCCCACAACAAAGATTTTCTTAGCCAAAAATGTCAGTGTTACTAAAATTGAGCAGGCCACTACTCGGTTTTTCCACTTCAATTTCGTTGTCTATAGAATGAGAGTACCTGCAGTACAGAGCTTGTAGATTTGTGTGGTAGATTGAGCACAATGTCTGGCACACCCTACTGTTCAATCAAGTTACTTTTAATCTTTTTCTTTCGTCTCCTCACCCCCTTTTTTAAAGTTTAACTATTAGACTCAGGATTAAAATGTGAGTGAGGGATGGTAAATCAATCAACATAAACTGCAATAAAAGTCAATTTCCTCACGACCTTTTTCTACCGGGAACAAGAGTTAGGTCTGAACAAGTGGGCAGGGAAGCAGTGTTCACAGCTGTTCCTCATGAACGATCAGCACTCAAAGCCAGGAGCAAAGGGCTTGAAGACACTCTGCATGTTTGAATAAATGAATTCCATGGGACTCTAGTTACAACCACTTGAGACAGAATAGTCACCTCCAACAACAACTTTTGATTATAGGCAAATGATATCAAAAGGTCCACAAACTGGCCTAATGTCCTACAGCTAATCAGGAACAAAACCAATCTGTATCTCCCTAAATGGCCAGGCTGTTGATAAGGGTCCCACACACAACACAGAATTCACTCTTTAGAAGAACGGCAATTCATCTAATTCTGAAGGATGAAGTTTCCCAGTGAGTGTCCAGAGTTGGCTGCTGGCTTTTAGGCTCCAAGGTTAAAAAAAAAAAAAGTCTTCTACTAGTGCATTTTATGTTTTCTCATTCAAAACACAATCCTAAAGCATAAATATAATTGATGAAACAGTAATGCAATTCTAATATTAAACCTAAATTTCAAAACCACCAAAACAGCAAGAGTACGCTGAAACAAAATCTACAGATACATCCCCAGAGGACTGGAAACCCCCAAGAGCTTCCCAAAGAAAGGGCAAGTTGGCCACTCTTTACCCTATTTCATCATCTTATATGCTTCACCCTCTTGTAGGAGAAGCTGATCAAATAACTTTTCCCAATAATAACTAGGCTGCTGGCTACAACACGTAAATTGCAAACTGAGCAATTCTTCCTTTTTATGCACATAACACTGCTATGATGCTTAGAATGAAGACTTCAATAAATGAACATGGCCTATTCTTTTGAAGTTATTCCTGAGTGGTACATCACGTTATTGTCAGAATCAGTTAAGAAAAAATGTTTGTTGGTTCCCACTCTCTCTTGGGGTTGATCCGTGAGAAAATTTTCGCTGCTCAGACAGCAAATTTTCAGTCTTTTACCTCAAAAAAGTTTCTAAGCTTAAGGTCCTGTGAGGCAGACACTGGTAAATTTACTTCCATAATATGCGCCTAGTCCACGTAAGGAAAAGAGGGAGACTGGGTAGTGAAAACACGAAGCTCAGAAATTTACTAGGTTATGCAATTACCATAGGCTGTAGAGTCATCAATCCATAAAGAAAATGGATAATTCAGACCACCTCAGCCAGCAGTGGATCTTAGAGCAGAGCCAAAAAACCTGACCACTGCTACCCCAGCATACAGGAGCACTGAGTCAACAGCTCCCAGTGTTATGCCTTATTTTTATTTAGCTAATTTTATGTGACTGAATTTTCATTCTAAAATAATACTCATTTTCTTTTGTAAATAAGAGAATCCAGAGGGGTAGAAAGAAAATTTAATCTCCTCACCAGCTTCTTTGAATTCTCTCTCATACAAGAATCCAACAGTAATGATGTCACTTGTGTTTTACCACATTTTCTCTTAGACATACCCACACACACGCCTATTATCAGGGAGTGTTAGGGGGAAAAGGATGTCCCAAAGCAAATTCCATATAGGCTTTGTGGACTCCACCCCCACCCCAGGTCAAAGCCAAAGACACTGGGAACTCCAAATCCCATCACCACCAAAGGGAAGGTGGCTGGGACCTGAGGGTGGGGTTAAGCAGCCAGGTGGATACAAAAGGCAGACACGTGGGCTTTGAGGGCTCTCTCCATTTTTGGGCTCTCGGCCAGCTCGCAGCGTCTGGCCAACTCTGAGAGTGACTTTGGGTTTCCAGGTCGTCGGATCGGGTAGGACGCATTAAAGACTTTATTTCCCTATTTTCTCCCTGAGTTGTACATTTTCCTTATTTCTTTTTCTCTTGTAAATAAACCTTTTGTGTGTGTCTGTAGTAGAGTATTCATAAGTCCC